GTAGCTCGTCATCAAATGCGTAAGGATTACTTTTTTAATGGCTAAATATTTTGAGAACATGTCAGCACAACGGATATCGTATAAGGGCTAGTTTGTTGGGTTGCCTAACTTCGCATAGGTTACTTGCATTGAATCATGAAAATTTGAAAACAACCAGTTCCATGTACCACAACTTTTAGATACGTCAGTACAGACAGCATGAGTTACTCTAATTATGCATCATGCGAGATCGTGGCATGAGTTAAAGTCATTTATTCAGGCATCTCAACAGCATGATATCCTCTTTGTTATCTATGATTTTCTAGGCATTCACTGCAGGTTTTCAGATTTCCTGTGTCTTCTAGTTTCTTGCAAACTGGATAAGTAAGTTTTAAACGAGTCTCAATTTGTTTTGATCGAAGTCGCCTCCGCTTTGCGCTCCATTGTGAAGTTGATGCCATCATGTGACGTTTCAGTTCGCTGTACGGGACAAATCTCACTTCGGAAGAGTTGATTTTTCACATCTCTTGCCTTTAAAACTAAACGGTATTAAATTGCAAAAAATATTTATTTTTTTAAAACATTTATGTTTTGAGTCAGCTAAAAGTACGCATGCATCAGTAAAACAGGATTCAATAAACGCCATTTTTTGTCGATCTTTGAACTAAAACAGCTTTCAGTAATTCACTTCCATTCTACAAAATTTATCATCATCCCTCTCAATTTGTGACTATTATGATGTAGGTACCTTGAAAGTTCTAGTTTTCTAAGAACGTCTTGGATGAATTTCGTAACACTGTTATCTAAAATCAACCAAGTTTTTAGTAAAAACGAGACAGGCTTGGGTTGTTAATGAGGACGAAAAACCTGACCGCAAGTTGAATAAACAACAAGAAAGCTTGTACTTGTGGTTATGTATTCTGTAGTGAAAGATGTTCTAACTTATCTGAWTCCGAGCTATGCARTGTATWTATCGATTGAGTCGGTTTTCTTYCACATAATGTTTTCACGAAGTGAATGAATGTCATCATCATACATGCTGAAGTCCAACGGGAAAAAACAAGTTTTTTCCCTTTCTTTTTCCGTCATTTCCTTCCCTCAAGAAAACGTCAAAG